ATACAGCCATAAGTTGTATAGTAACAGTTTCTTCTCTTGCACTTCTTGCTTGTGGGAATCTCTTCCTGCTTCTTGCTTTACTAGTCAAATTTGATTTTCAGAAATTTAAATGCAATGTCAATCATTATCTTCTGTCTTCTTAATTCCTGTTCTTTTGTTGTCTACTCTCCTTAATAGTGTTTTTCTTTTTCTCTTATTTTTTCCCACTCAGTAACCCCTTGTTTCTTAGTGGCTTTACTACCTTGGTAAAATGATTTAAAAAAAAAGTCTATATGTAATGCTAAATGTATTTCTATATTTTTGGCTGTAACTGCCAATGTTGCTTGCACAAGGGAGGTAACTCTAATTATCTTCTTTCACCTGGTCATACCAGATAGCTGTATCATTGTTTTGAAGAATTTTAAGAAGCCTGTGGGTAAGAAAAAACTGACAATAACTGTACATTAATAGTTATTAGGAAAATATATTTGAAAACTCAGGTGCAAAAATCTTCTAAGAATAGTAAGGACTTAGAATATGCCTTTATTTTTTATGGCACAATTAAACTGCCATATTTCCTGTATGCTAAAATGTAACAAGTGGTAAGACACAATCTATAATGGACATTCCATATTACTTCTAATAAAAATGTTTGAAAGAAATCTCTAGCAGATTTTTGAGAATAACAATGATTTTTTCATATTCAAGTCTTACTAATTAACCCATAGCTTGGGGGAGATTGGGAGAGATAGATCCATAACTTTTCTTATAGTTATTTGCTTTATAAGTGAATGTAACAAACCTGACTGGAATTCAAATTTGACTATTGGATTTCTCATTCTGTGATGCTATCCATTACACCACCCACAAATCCACATTCCATTGGTCAGAAGGAAGTTCTGCTTAGACTACCTCCTTCCAAGAACTGCTGCTTTGTAGAACAAACTCCCAAGATTGTTTTCTCGATCACTACAATCTTAACTTCTTCAAGTTTAGGGTCAACCATTTTCTGTCCAACATCTCCTCACAATCTACACTTCTTATCTTCCCTCATTCAGTAACCTTCTACCTTGAGTGGCTCTTAGGCCCTGTATTGAGTAAACATTACTAAAATATATATACTGTATTTCTTGTATGTTAAAATGCTACAAGTGGTAAAACATGCTATAATTAGTCCAAATGGGGGGGGGGGTCCATTCCAATGTAAAATATGGTATTTAGTTTAATTCCTAGTGCCTTGAGTGCCTATTAAGCCATAAAATCACCCCTGACCTCAAATGGAACTCTTATATATGATCCATCCCCAAAGATGCAGGAAATATGGTTGACTCTGTACCGCTCCAGTAAGTACCTGGATCCTCATGCTATGCTCTCTACCTTTACAAGAGCCAGAATAAGCTGAACATAGAATACTGTTGTCATATTTGGATGGGAGTTGTCCAGTCCTCAATTTCCAGTCTCGATAGAATCAAGAGCATCTCTGAATCCTTGTGGATGACAAATTATTTTCCACCATCCAACTGTGGGGAAATTTAACAACTCTCCAACTGGAGTCATGGACAAAGTGAGGCGATTGAACATTGTAAAATATACTTTATACAAGAAACACATTACATAATGAGAAGAGAATATAGGATTGCTAAAAACGTATTCTTTAGCAGTTAAAAGTCAAGGCATTGGGGATGATATTCAAATACATGTTTCTGTATGAAATTGATTGAAGGTTAAGGCTAGCTTGTGGCTTGCATCACCTGTACTTGGAGTGAACTGGAGATACATATCATCAGTTCCTGGTCTTCTCAGTGTCTCAAATTGGCGCTTAAATTCTATTTTGCGCCTAATTTTGGGTCATACTGATTATCATCAGATTATTATAATCTGACACATCTTACTATCAGCAGGAGTTATCTACCAAAGGGAGATAACCTATATTTCTTATACAACCCTTGTCTCACAGGTGGAATGTAGCAAACCTCTCACTGCCCTATCTCTACTACCATAAAAAGTACTTGGACAAATTACATTTCTTGGTTCTACCAGTTCTAACCTTCACATTTAGGACCCACCATGCCACTTACAAGCAAAATTGTAGCAAACCACCCACATTCCATCCGCAGTGCACTGGTGGGAAATAAGTTTCACTTGAACAGCTTCTTCCAAAAAACAACTGCTCTGTGGAACGAATTCCCAAGATAATGTTTCTCTGATCACTAGTATCTTAACCTGTTCAAGTCTAGGGTTAACTGCTATCTCTACCTCGTATCCGTATAAACCTTTTCTTAATGTAACCCTCAACCATGAGTGGCTCCTGGGCCTTGTAAAGGGTGAACCTTACTGTAAAATAAATCATGACATAATAGAAAAATTTGTGCCACCATCAACAAAGCAAGCAAATTACTTCGATGACTGGTATACATATACAGACATATAGACATTTTATTGTTGACATGAATAAAATAAATGTGTGTAAATAGAATTATAAAAATTTAGCGTGTTTCCTGACTGGTCAGACACACCATATAATTAGGTAGTCATTTTTTTTTTTTTTTAAAAAAAAATATTTGAGGATTTAATAACTTACTATACACGCAAGTCCATGTCACCAGCTCTACAATGTTATTGTTCTTTCTATTACAATGAATTATAACATCTTGAATGTATTATTAAATATTTTTGGTTAATATTAATTAGGCGTTCAGTAGTTTAGTACAATGTTTTATCTGTTCACATCAGAAAGTTATACTTATCACCACAAGCCACTAGGCGTCTCAACACAGCGTGTTTACATCTAGCTCCCAACATGTTTCAGGTTGATGTTCAAGAGTGCAAATGGTGGCTTGCTTTTGAATCATCACCATCACAGTCCACTATTTCTGTATTAATATATTATTGCCTTGTTGCAGGTGGTATGTTGGCTCACAAATAAATATTGAATGATGCAAGACAACAACAAAGAAAATGAAGACTAGAGTAAAAAAATATATATATGGCTAAGTTTATTTTCTTTAAAGAAAATACATGAACAAAAATAAGATTACAGTGCATTAGGCAAAAAATATCTCTGCATGTTCATGTAGAGAGCAAGAAGAGCATTGTCTTGAAAAGGACAGTTTTGTAGTTGCTGAAGAGCATTGTCTTGAAAAGGACAGTTTATGAAATATCATTGCTGCTGGCTAGGATGGCTGGAGATGAAGGCATGTTGGAGATTGCTGGAGCTGTTGGCTGGCTATCAGCAGCTGGAACAGAATACTACACTTTGATCCTTGTCATCCTGGCTGCAGAACTATCAGTTTTTGATGCTTTGGATCAGTTTTGCAATGATTGCTGGTTAAGCTTTTTCTTCCAGTTGTTTTTAAAAAATGTGCTGACAGGATATGGCAACCTATCCATTTGTATTATTACAATAATTGACATTACCTAATTTTAGCATAAACAAGCATGTCAGATAGTAAATACATTTGGAATTAACAGTAAGTCTATTGAGTTAACTGGTTGGCTTCAATAGTACACAAAGTACAATAATAATATGGTATGGTATACTTGGTGTACATATGAAATGTAACTGTTAGCCTGTATTATATGGCTGTGGTTGGAGTTTGTGAAGATACTGTATACTTGAAAAAAAGCAACAAGGAGACAGTAGTGTTATGATATGGGCTGGAATTGTCAATCAGATCATTATTGCACCATTCAAAGTTGATGAAGCAGTTAAATTGAACATTGCAATTTTATGAAGAAGACTTTCTTTGCATGGTACAAGTCCCAGTCTTGCAATTTCAAATTGAAGTGTGTATTTATGCACAACAATGCTCCTTCTCATGTATTTAAGCTTACCTGTGAATTCTTTGAGCATAAAAGATTTACAAGAGAGAAGATAATCAAATCTGATCAAAAATCTATGGTCAACTGTGAAGATGAAATTATATGAAGGTGGCAAACAAGATAACAGTAAAGCAGACATTTGGGAAGCAATTAAAACTATCCGGTCAGAAATTGAAGCTGCTGAAGTAAAAAAAATGAAAATCAATGGACCATAGATTACTGGCTGTTATTAAGAAGAATGGTCACAATATTAAAATGTAAAGAATTCAAAGACTTATCATGTGTTTGTTATTTGTTCTATTATAGGTGTTGATCAATATTTGATGATTTTATTACCTTTTTATTGAAGTAAAATGCGATTATTTAGTTTTGCCTAATAACTTCAGATAACAGTTTTTTTTAGAATACATCAAATAACTTTGATAAAACATATTGATACTTCCTAAAATTTTAACTCAGACTTTGTTTTGACATCTAAATTGATTGTTTAAAAATTGATAATTTTTTTAAAACCAAATTTGAATTACAGAAGCTTATATGATTTGCCTAATAACTTCAGACAGGTTGCATGCATGTGTGTGTGTGTGTGTGTGTGTGTGTGTGTGTATATATATATATATATAAATAAAAAGAAAGAGCAGTAAGATATATAATCTGGTGTTCTTATAGATATTTTTATTTTTACAAAATAGTGCTCAATGTAAATTTACAGAGCATTAATATTATAAATTAATTGATTTAAAATATGTTTTTTTTTCACTACACAGTTGTAACCATATTTCAAAAATGGAAGCTAAAAGCTCCGAATTTAATTTTGTAATTAAATTAAAGACATTAGTTCTATTTCATCCTCAAGTGAATTTTGGAGTAACTTTTGAAATTACTGGGTTTTAAAGACACAGCTAAAATCATAATTCACGTTTCTAAGGTAACTAATAACTGATACATCAAAATACAGACATAATGCACACGCAGACCCCCCTTGTTTGGTGGAAGTGGATTTATCTGTAACCTTGGAAACGTGAAAAAATTTCCATTTTTGAAACACAGAACTATGTAGCGAAAAAAAACAACATATTTTAAATCAATTAATTTATAATATATATATATATATATATATATATATAACCATTTGAAATTTTGCTCTTGGTTTGCAAATTCTTCCCTCATATTTTTATTCCGTATCTTTTTTCTTTCAGTCTTTAAACGCATTGAAATTTCACTGTTTTCTCGAGATCTGAGGACAACCATCAAAACCATCCTGAAGGCTTGCAACTTGCCTGTCGACTATGTAAATACCATTGAAAGCAGCTCACCTAAGACATCTCGGACACGGTCAGGGCATGGCCTTGTTAACTGGGACCACACATTTTACAAGGCAATGAATTCTGCTGATGCAATGAAAGTGAAACCACAAATAACTCTACAGTAAGTTCGATTGCATTTATAAAAACATTATTTATAAAATGACAAAGTGGAAGCAGGTTTGAGCCCTGCTGGAGAGCACAATTTCTTTGTTAAGATTTCTCAAATGTGCATGCTGATAGACATAATAGGCACTGTTTAAAATAAAAATAAAGATGGGGTATCTATTTCAAAATAATAGGGTATTTGTGCATAACTGAATATAACAAAACCACCTGGAATTGGAACTCAACTCTCCGATTTCCAATTCTGAGCTGTTATCCATTGCACCACCTGCACATCCAAGCTTACAGCACCAGATATTCCCAAGCAATCACCCATCTACGTACTGCCAGGCAAAGAAAAGAAACCTGTTTTTATGAGGTGTTGACAACTATCTCGCTAGACTTATGTTTGGAAATTTTTTCTATGAGGGATATATCTGTAAAAATTACTTGATGAATATAGCATGAATGCCTTTTTTATATAGTTTTTTTTAACTACCCAGTAATCTTAAAAATTTAGGAAAATATTCTATGTAATCTTATGTTTTATTGAATTTTAGGCACTTTGCTTTTAAATTTACCATAGTTACCACTATTATTATGATAATGTCCATATTTACAAAAATCAGCATGTTTATACACATCTAAAAAATGTTAAATTCTTTTTAAAATATTGCAAGTCACTGAATTTTTGTAAGCTTTTCCATTTATGATTAATATAGTTTTTAGCTAATAACAATATTACCTAACCACTACAAGTTAATACAGAATTTTTAAAGATTTAAAACTTTATAGATTATTCTAATTAAAATTTTAAAATAATTCTTGTAAATATTCATTAATTATTGAAAAAAATCGAATTGATGATTTAAATTCTCCAAGGACTTGTGCTTATAACTAACTAGCAGACTTCACCTGCTCACTATCGCTTCGCAAAGTAAGATAAATTCTCTACTTGAAATCATTGAAACAAAAGTTTTAAATGAACATTTCATTCTTAAATTGGCTTGTTATAGTTAAGAAAAGTTTTACAAATAGATACCAATTTGTTGAAGGCCAAGTAAAATTCAAGTTTCAAACACTTTTCTGCACTATATAAGACGATATTCCCTTTAGCTAGCTTAAAATTTTAAGCTAGCTGCAGTTTTGTATACAAAAGGTAAATAAGAGTTACTCCCTTTGAACCATGAAAGCAACAATAATGGCTAGTATAATATGTTAATATATATTTTTAACGTAGCATAATCTGGCAACCCTGAATCTGAGCTCAATGAAAATCATTCCCTGCACCTTACTTTTCTAGGGATTTTGAATGAGTTATGAATCATCGAAATCAGACCAGTGCGAGCGAAGGAGTTGTTTGGACACACACACACACACACTGTATATTATATATAAGATATAAACATTAAGCCCTGCAAAAATTAATTTCTTAAAATTTCATAAAATTACATAACTGATGTACCAAAAAACATTTTTACCAAGATATTCTAAAAAAGAAAGATTTTTAAAATAATTTCATTCATTTGCGAATAAATCTTGAAAGTTTCATTGAAATCTGACAATTATTTGATTTTTGCAAGGAGTTTCGAATCAATGTTTTTTTCATTGCAAAAAGACACTATACAAATATATGGTCACTTGCTGATGTAAGAAAAAAGATTTTAACCAAAATTTTGAAGGTTCCAAAAAGGATTTAAAAATATAATTTAATAATCAAAATATTCTTTGGTCTTTCCTTTTAATAATAACAAAGATTTTGACAATAAAACTTTGTTTTTATTAAATTTTGGGCATTTTTTTCGTCATATATAATCATTTTTTAGCAAATCTTTTGAAGTACCTAAGATATATATTTTTCCATATCTAGGTTTGTGTATACAGACATCTCTCATTTAATGCATTTGATTAATGCGTTTTCAATTTATGTGCAAAAATTTTTATATACCAAAATTCAATTAGTGCATACATAATACTCAATTAGTATGGTAAAACATTCTTCAGTTTAAGCATGGTAATTGAAATTTGATTTTTTTTATTGTTACCAATGTACAAATCAAGGGATTCTCTCTCTCTCTCTCTCTCTCTCTATATATATATATATATATATATATATATATATATATTTTATTTTAAAGAAAAACAGACCACTTGAAGGCTCCATTGTAATAATTGATTTCACCAGAGAATTTTATTTTTCTCTGGATCTTCAGACTTCACTTTCAAAAGGTGAAACGAAAAATGAATTTAAAATTTACACTTTTGACGGGTAGTATTAAGCTTATATAAGTTGACATAGTGAGTGGTGAGGGATGGTATGAGAGACATGGTCGAGTTTAGAGAGGGAAGGGAGAGTTTTAAAATTTATTTTTATATTTCTTTTTATTATAATACTTAATAAGAAGGAGGGGTAAGGATCAGACATTGACCTATTTAATCGGTCAACTCAATGGAAATGATATGGGAAAAGGAAAGCAGAAAAAAAGGTATGTGACCTGTGTATTAAAGAGAAGATTCTAATGATAAAGCATAAAGATCCTGATAAATTACTAAACCAACATAACGAGATGATTTTTAAATGCAGACATAGAAATCATCTCAATCTAATTCACTACATATAAAAAAAAACTATATACGATGGTAAATATTGGCTTAGATTTGAGGATGATTGTATGCACACATGTGTGCAGGTATATAATTGTATGTATATAAATGTGTATATCAACTTGGATATAGATATGTGGATTTATGTGTATATGTATATATGTACATATATATATATATATTGTGGGCACATGTGTAAATATGTATATGTGTATTTGTAAATTTAAATAGGTATATTTATTTATGTATTGATTCATGTATATGGGGTTGCATATATGTTTGTATATATATATATATATATATATATATGTATTTATGAATTTATATATGTGATATGTGTGAATATATGTGTAGGATATAATTGTATGCATATATATGTATACAATATATGGGTGTATGGTTTTATATATATATATATATATAGAGAGAGTTCTAATGGAAGGACAGAAAATTTTATTACCTTTTAATCTTACTTTCTCTTGAAATATTTTCTAATTAGACTTGTAAGATTGGAAATTTTACTCATCTGGAGATAATCTCAATTTAACTTGATCACTTAGATTTAAATTAAAATATGTTACTCCTTAACCATTAGTCATGATGTTAAAAATATTAAAATTAAAAATATTTTTTGAAATTTAAACACTTAATTCACTACCTAACATTAACTGCAAAATTTAAGTAAAAATTTAAATATGTATAAATATGGATGTAAGTATTTATATATGTATATGCATATATACTGATGTATATCAATACATGTGTATGTGATTATATGTGTAATTGCACATGTATATGAATGTATATGTATGTGGTGTATGTATGAAAAAACAGTTTTTTTACTATTACCTTCAAATCTTACTCCATCTTGATTTGAAACCTAAACTTTAATAAGAAATATTACCCATCTAAAAATAGCTACAAATTAAATTCATGAATTAGACTCTAACTGTAGAAGTCAAGTTTTAACTTGGTGGCTACACCAGTCTACTTGTGTGTCAGACCACTTGCAAGCTAACCAATATTCCACACTAACTGATAAAGATTTTACCTTAACAGTCATTCACAATATTAAAATATTACTATTAGTAAATTTTGGATTTTTTTTTATTATTGTTGGTTATTAATATAGTAATCGACTTATATTTAATCCCTAATTTATTTGTGGAGAAGTTGAATATTTAAATTGCTAAGAAGCATTAAATTTATTTTCTTTGTGGAGTTTTTAAATATTTAAATTACTATCAAATGTTAAAATCTGTTTTTATGTAAATTGTTAAAGCAATACCACCCCTCTTCTTGCTCTTCTAGATCTTTTTGTATTTATGCAAGTTTTCTGCAGGGGTCTATCCTTGGACGTGGTTTTCCTATTTTTCATAAATGACCTTCCTGATGTCATCAGTTCTCAGTTTGGTATCTATGCTGATGACACAACTATTTACTCCTGTCTTCATAGTAAAACTCATTGGTTTGATGGTCAAATTGGCAGCTGATCTCAAAAATGTCATGAAATCAGTTGCTGTTAAATGGAGTGAAGATTGGCTTGTTAATTTTAACACCTTCAAAATGAAACTGCTCTTTTCTCTTTTAATCGCCTGAGAGAACCCGATTTACATCTCAACAGCATGGCTGATGCTAACCTCCATGAGTGTGACTCATTGCATCTTCTTGGACTAATGTTTTCTGTTGATATGAAATTGAATCAATTGCTAGTTCTGCAGCTAGGATAGTTGATTCACTGTATTGAGCAAGACAATTTATCTCAACAGAATCTATCTTAAATATTTATAAGTCCTTGATTTGAATATTACTGCCACATCTGGTCTGGTGCTCCTAGTATATATTTAGAGATTCTTGATAAAATTCAAAGAAGAGTCTGCAATGGTATTTCCCATCACCATAATGAAGCTTCCCTGTGTCTTTTCTATAAATACTTTCATAGTAATTGTTTTAATGTGCTTTCCTCTTTGGTATCTAGACTTTATGAATTTAAACACAGTACTAGAGTGGCGGCAAGGTCTCATCATTTTACACTTGAAATCGTGAGATGTAACCATGAGTTCTATGCTAACAGTTTCTTCTCTCGCACTTCTCGCTTGTGGATCTCTCTTCCAGCTTCTTGCTTCCCAATCAACTTTGATCTTCAGAAATTTAAATGCAATGTCAATTGTTATCTTCTATTCTTGTTCTTTTATTGTTCTCTCACCTTAATAGTAGTTTTTCTCATATTTTCTAACACTCAGTAATCCCTTGCATCTTAGTGGCTTTATTCCCTTGCTTGTCGTGAAATGATTTTTAAAAAATTGGAGAATAAAGAATGCAAATGAAATAAAGCATGTAGAAAAACACATGCACAAGGTCTGATTAAAAGTATCGGGACTGTTGGTATGGTAATATAGTTAAAGTATGCAGAGTGAAGCTGCTTGGCACTGATTGACCATGAACTCCATTGTATATGCACACTATAATATAACATTCTCCCTCACTTTTGTTGTTTATAGCAGTGCTTGGAAGGAAAGTGTTTAGAGTGTGGTTGTCTCACCACAACACTGATGTTTCATTATTGACTATGTCTTGTGCAGCAGTTTTTGGTCGAGCCTAACATTCCCCAGGTCTGGCGACCACCACATTCCTCAGTTCTTGCCACTGGTGACATTTTCCTTTTTCCCAAAATTGAATCCCACTCAACAGGAACAAGATGTCAAGAGAATGTGATGAGGTAGCTGTTTGCTATCCCAAAACAAAGAGTTCCAGGAATGAATCCATCAATGGAAATGATGTTGGATAAAGTTTGTGGCTTTAGAAAGGCACTACCTTGAAGGAAATTAAATGCTGAATTGATAGATGTTGCAGTATTCTTTTTATAGCACTAGTCCCCCATCCATGATTTTAGATCAGACATATATATATGTATATATATATATTAGTGATGAGAAGATTAATTGGAATCAAGAATTTACACCCTTGTGTAAATTATTTGAAACAAAACGAATAATTCTGTTATTATTTACTTATTTTTTGTATTTTTCCAATGAAACATAGCCCAGTGCAGATGTTAATACTTTATATAACCATTCAATGAAGTTGTTCCTTGCAGATTGACCACAAATTCTCAATTGGATTTAAATCAGGAGAGTTTCCAGGTCAGTCTATAGTACTTTGATTTACTCACTGGTAAGGCTTGCCAGTGTGTTTATGCAGTGTTACAATATTTGTATACTTCCTTGGAGTAACATCCATCACAGGCAATAGCTGTAGGACAACTAATAAACAGTCAAGACAATAGTGTCTTGGCCTGATAAAAATCTGATGCAATCACAGATGACGCAGTATTTCTCAAGGCCAAACAAATTTCATTATACACTCCGAAAATAGATTCATATTACTGCACACCACTGCAAATGACCTAATCTGAGGAAAAAATAGAAATTGATTACACCCTGTCACTCCAGTGAGTCTAAAACTGACTGTATGATGAAAGAAAGGAAACTAATATGGTTGTTTCAATTAATTAGCACAAGGGTGTAATTTCTGATTCAAAAAGTCTTTGAATTTTTTTTGTTTAAAACTTCATTTTCATTCTAGGTATGAATGATAAAAAAATATAAATATTTACTGATTTTAAACTATCAGTAAAACTAAAATCTATAGATCATAATAATAGTATGATGGAAATTTATTTTGTGTGTATAAAAAAAAAGGGGAATGTGAAAGTTTCTACTCAGTTCTTGAACTTTGCATAAAGTTCGCTAGTTTAAAGTCTGTTTCAGTTCAAAATAAAATTACCATTACCATATTTATTTTTATTTTTAATTTCTTTGTAAACATTGTTAATTCACCCATTTAATATTATAAATTATTAATTTAATAATTATAATCAAAATTATACAGTATAAACACAAAATGAATTCACTTTTCTGCTGGGCTGTCTTTAAGACAAATTTTTTTTAATTTATAAAAAAATGAATGTATAGAATTTCTTCTGATGTCACATTTGATTTCTTCACATAAAAATTGACCTTGTGTCCTAAATTGTCCTCATGATGAGACAGTTAAATTACAACAATTTGTTTTTATGATAGTTTTAATCCATAAAATCATATTTTAGTCTCAGTGATTGAAAAGATTTATTTTTATTTCTGTAGCATGCTACGGAAACAAAAATAAATCTTTTGTTCAATTACCTAGACTTAAAAAATTAAATATTCTTTTTGTGAAACTTAGAATTATTTCTACGAAATTCATGTATTTCATAAAATTTTATAAATTTCCAAATGGATTTTCATCTTTATTTACTTAAAAAAATAAACAACAATTTTATATGCTGTTTCCTGAAAAAAAAAAAGCTTTTTCACACAAAAGTTTGTATTTTAAAAAACCTAAAATTTAATTTCCATCAAAAATTGTATTCAGTTCTATTTTACTAATATTTTTCCTTGGCATAATTGAATTTTCCTCTGTTAAATGATATCTGCTTAATCATGGTAAACCCACATGCCTCATTTTAATTGTTTTTTTTCTTCTCTTTCCCTTCCTCTTCCTAAAAAAGAGGAAGTATTCTGCTTTTGAAATTAATCATTCACTCACCAGTAATTTACCATCGCCTGGGGAGACACATTTGTAGTGTTGAAACACGATTGCTATTGTGTAGTGATTTTTAACATGTTTTTGTATTAATCTCGGATAATAAATAATATTTAATTCTACTCTGTATTGATCCCACTTTTAAATTAAATGTTACGGGCAGTGGAATTATACTCTGATCTTATATAGTTCTTATCTTACCTGGACATATATATATATATATATATATATATATATATATATATATATATATATATATTATAACAATAAAAAATGTTAAAAATTAAAATTTCAGATACAATGGGTTTCAGCCATTATGGCCATCATCAGGAGAAAAAAATCCCTGCTTATTGAACTACAGGAGTGAATGACTTGTCTTTGAAGAAAGTGAACTTTATCTGTAGTTTTCATTTGTTTTTTATCATTAATTTTGGTCAGTTATTGTATTGGTTAAATAGCCCTTTCAAGTTTTTTTAAAAAGAGGCTGGGAGATTCATGAGTCTCAGAATTCCCTCTTTTGTCATTTTGACAGCTTGATTGGCTGCTAGGAAGGAGATGTGTATGTTAAATGTATGTTATCTTTTAGGTTTTTGGGAGTGTGTGTGATGCATGTATGTGTATATATTTGTGTGTGCATGTATGTGGGAGACCCCAACACCTCTGCATGCATGTCTGTCTAGTGTGGTTGAAAAATATTGGTGGGGGTTGATCTATGGAATTATATATTGTATCTGTGTTGTTTAAGCTGATGTTAAGTTTGTTTGGACAAACTGTAATAATGTTGGCTGTTGGTTCCTAAGAGGCTCATCCACCCTTTGACAAGTTTTGTTTTTTGTTCACTGGAGCAACATGCTATCCTCATCACCAGCAGAAAAGCTGTAGGATCTGGTGTAGAAGTGTAAGAAGAGCTGGTTTAGATGACAACTACCTGTCCAGGTAGCAGGTTGTATTGGATTACATATTACCAGTTGCAGGTTTAAACCTGACCTAACCCACTGAATATTTTTGTCTTTGGGAAGGAATTCTTGTAATTTTTTTTTCTTTTATTGGCACTAATTTGATTATTTGTGATGATTTCTACAGGAAATGGTTGGAGAAGAATGTAGTTAAGGCACAACGTTTGTCAGTGATGACACGAGCTATACAAGATGACATCGATCGGTTAAGTTCTGCCTTAAAGAATAAACTCAAGCTACGGGAACTACGATGGGCTAGTGTTTGGGGAAACACGCATTATCGAGGCTGTCTGAGAAGTTTTGATCGACTTTATGCAGAAAATTCACACAAAATTGAGAAAATACTCAAAGGTGAGTGAATATACAAATCTTATGAAGAATTTATTTTTTTTAATCAATTTGCTCCAAGCCAGGAGACAATGTCACTAAGGCACAAGGGGCTACAGGGAATGAAAGAAAATGAAAAAACTCTAGAAGAGACTGGAAACCAAATTATAAACAGGAAACAAGGGACAAACCACCAATCCTATTCAAAAGACTGGGGAATGAGTGTGAACCAGTAAATAGGCAACCCTATTTACTCCAATTGAGGAGAGAGAAAAAAAATTAAAAAAATTGTCTATATATAAAATTTTGTGACTTTTGTTAGTCTGTCCATTCATCTGTCACACCCTCTAAATTAGCCATAAATTGATTGATCAAAACCAAATTTTGAGGAGAATAGGTAAGGGGGTACAATGAACAGTTGGTTTTATTAGCATGTATAGCTTAGTAGAATAAATTTTCATTCAATTTTTTTGAAAAATTAAAAATTTTATTATTTAACATGCAAAATACTCCCACTATTTTAAAGACAATGTAATGATTAAAATAACAAATACTTATTTAATAAAAATGCAATATTGTTTATAAAATTTTTATGTTTCCCAATTCAAACGTGAACTGAAGACATGAATCCTGAAACACTAACATTTACGTTCACTCAAACATGGACTAGAGGCAAAACTCCTATGAAGCTCTAATAGCTGAGTGGACGTAAAAGGAAAGAATTCATGTCTTTATCTTCTAAAGCTGTGTGAGAAGTCATATTGTTACAACGTCATTAAGAAAACATCTTGCCAGTAATCAGGAACTTCCTTCTTAGTATTGGAATATGGGGGGAATGAGGATGATTTGTTCTTGTATACGTGGCATGGTGGGTTTCAGCTGCAAGGGTCAGGGTTGGTGGAAACCAAGGAATGTAGCTCATCAGAATACATGTCATGAAAATAGAAGCAAGAGGTTGATAATGTTTCTTCTGGGGAATAGGAGTTGTACAGTGCAAAATAATTCATCACCCACAAGGCCGTGTAGAATTTTCACTCTATGAAGACAGGCAAATGAGGATTAGGCAGTACACCATTTTCTTTTTTTGTCTGATATGGGTCTTGTAAAGATAGAGCTTAAAAAAGAGGAGTCGGGTACTTCTGGTGCAGTACAAGGAACTGACCCTTTTTCCAGTATCTTTAGCAATTAACCATATATGAGAGTTCCACTTGAGGTCTGGGGTGAGTCCCAATAGACATTCAAGACAAGGTGCCTCCTTGAGAGAACACCGTAAGAGGTGAAAGTTCAAGGTCTGCTCGGTGATAATGGAACGTTACTTGTTTGGATTTTTGAGGTATTGAATATGACAAGCTAGTCCTTCCCCCATTGAACCACCAAAGCTGGTTCAGAGGAGAGATCAAATGCAAGATTCTATTTATGATTAACACCAACTCTATTCCACTTTCCCTATTATTGATTTCACATATTGGTTTCAGAATTATTGATTCTTGACTCTATAAATTATTGATCCTCCTCAACTTAATTTTCTGAATTACTGCATTTCAGAGATATTACTTTTCCATCTGTTTGTAAATTATTGATCACCATTTAAGCTGTAATTTATTGATAGCCCTAATTTGGTTTCTTAATGTTTATCCCCCTCTCAGGTTTTCTGTAATATTTATCCCCCTCTCAGATTTTCCGTAATATTTATCCCCCTCTCAGGTTTTCCATAATATTTATCCCCCACTCAGGTTTTCTCCAATAATTTTTATCCCCCTCTCAGGTTTTCAGTATTATTTATCCCCCCTCTCAGGTTTACCATAATATTTATCCCCTCTCAGGTTTTTCCATTATTATTTATCCCCCCCTCTCAGGTTTTCCATAATATTTATCCCCTCTCAGGTTTTCCTCCGATTATTTTCCCCCCCTCTCAGGTTTTCCATAATATTTATCCCCCCCCTCTCAGGGTTTTCCGTATTATTTATCCCCCTCTCAGGTTTTCCATAATATTTATCCCCCCTCTCAGGTTTTCTCCGTGATTATTTATCCCCCTCTCAGGTTTTCCATAATATTTATCCCCCTCTCAGGTTTTCCAGCTTTATTATTTATCCCCCCTCTCAGGTTTTCAGTATTATTTATCCCCCTCTCAGGTTTTCCATAATATTTTCCCCTCTCAGGTTTTCCGTAATATTTATCCCCCTCTCAGGTTTTCCATAATATTTATCCCCCTCTCAGGATTTCCGTATTATTTATCCCCTCTCAGGTTTCCATAATATTTATCCCCCTCTCAGGTTTTCAGATATTTATCCCCTCGGTTTTTTATTATTTATCCCCCTCAGGTTTTCAGTATTATTTATCCCCCCTCTCAGCTTTTCCATAATATTTATCCCCCTCTCAGGTTTTCCGTAATATTTATCCCCCTCTCAGGTTTTTTCCATAATATTTATCCCTCTCAGGTTTTCCGTAACATTTATTTATCCCCCTCTCAGGTTTTCCATAATATTTATCCCCTCTCAGGTTTTCCATAATATTTATCCCCTCTCAGGTTTTCCTCTCAGGTTTTATTTATTCCCCCTCTCAGGTTTTCCATAATATTTATCCCCCTCTCAGGTTTTCCGTAATATTTATCCCCTCTCAGGTTTTCCGTAATTTTTCCCCCTCTCAGGTTTTCCGTATTATTTATCCCCCTCTCAGGTTTTCCATAATATTTATCCCCCCCTCTCAGGTTTTCCGTAATATTTATCCCCTCTCAGGTTTTCCATAATATTTATCAGGTTTTCCGTAATATTTCTCAGGTTTTCCATAATATTTATCCCTCTCAGGTTTTCCATAATATTTATCCCCCTCTCAGGTTTTCCATAATATTTATCCCCCTCTCAGGTTTTTTTCCGTAATATTTATCCCCCTCTCAGGTTTTCCGTAATATTTATCCCCCTCTCAGGTTTTCCATAATATTTATCCCCCTCTCAGGTTTTCCATAATATTTATCCCCCTCTCAGGTTTTCCATAATATTTATCCAAACTCTCAGGTTTTCCGTATTATTTATCCCCCTCTCAGGTTTTCCGTATTATTTATCCCCCTCTCAGGTTTTCCGTATTATTTATCCCACTCTCAGGTTTTCCATAATATTTATCCCGCTCTCAGGTTTTCCATAATATTTATCCCGCTCTCAGGTTTTCCATATTAGTTATCCCGCTATCAGGTTTTCCGTATTATTTATCTCCCTCTAAGGTTTTCCATAATATTTATCGTGCTCTCAGGTTTTCCGTATTATTTATCCCCCTCTAAGGTTTTCCGTAATATTTATCCCCCTCTCAGGTTTTCCGTAATATTTATCCCCCTCTCAGGTTTTCCATAATATTTATCCCGCTCTCAGGTTTTCCATATTAGTTATCCCGCTATCAGGTTTTCCGTATTATTTATCTCCTCTAAGGTTTTCCATAATATTTATCGTCCGTGTTATTTATCCCTCTCAGGTTTTCCGTATTATTTATCCCCCTCTAAGGTTTTCCGTAATATGTATCCCGCTCAGGTCTTCCGTAATATTTATCCCCCTCTCAGGTTTTCAGTATTATTCATCCCCTCTCAGGTTTTCAGTATTATTTATCCCCTCTCAGGTTTTCCGTATTATTTATACCCCTCTCAGGTTTTCCGTAATATTTATCCCCCTCTCAGGTTTTCCGTATTATTTATCCCCCTCTCAGGTTTTCCATAATATTTATCCCCCTCTCAGGTTTTCCGTAATATTTATCCCCCTCTCAGGTTTTCCGTAATATTTATCCCCCTCTCAGGTTTTCCATAATATTTATCCCCCCTCTCAGGTTTTTTTCCATATTAGTTATCCGCTATCAGGTTTTCTCAGGTTTTATTTATCTCCCTCTAAGGTTTTCCATAATATTTATCCCCCTCTCAGGTTTTCCGTAATATTTATCCCCCTCTCAGGTTTTCCGTAATATTTATCCCCCTCTCAGGTTTTCCGTAATATTTATCCCCCTCTCAGGTTTTCCATAATATTTATCCCCCTCTCAGGTTTTCCATATTAGTTATCCCGCTATCAGGTTTTCCGTATTATTTATCTCCCCTCTAAGGTTTTCCATAATATTTATCGTATTTCTCCCAGGTTTTCCGTGGGTTTTATTTATCCCCTCTAAGGTTTTCCGTAATATTTATCCCCTCTCAGGTTTTCCGTAATATTTATCCCCCTCTCAGGTTTTCCATAATATTTATCCCCCTCTCAGGTTTTCCATATTAGTTATCCCGCTATCAGGTTTTCCGTATTATTTATCTCCCTCTAAGGTTTTCCATAATATTTATCGTGCTCTCAGGTTTTCCGTATTATTTATCCCCCTCTAAGGTTTTCCGTATTATTTATCCCCCTCTCAGGTTTTCCGTAATATTTATCCCCCTCTCAGGTTTTCCGTAATATTTATCCCCCTCTCAGGTTTTCCGTAATATTTATCCCGCTCTCAGGTTTTCCATATTAGTTATCCCGTTATTTATTTATCAGGTTTTCCGTATTATTTATCCCCTCTCAGGTTTTCCGTAGGTTTTCCGTAATATTTATCCCCCTCTCAGGTTTTCCGTATTATTTATCCCCCTCTCAGGTTTTCCGTATTATTTCCGTGATATTTATACCCTCTCAGGTTTTCCGTAATATTTACCCCCCCTCTCAGGTTTTCCGTTTTCCATTATTTATACCCTCTCAGGTTTTTCTAATATTTATTTCCCCCTCTCAGGTTTTATTATTTATCCCCCTCTCAGGTTTTCCGTATTATTTATCCCCCTCTCAGGTTTTCCGTATTATTTATACCCCTCTCAGGTTTTCCGTAATATTTATCCCCCTCTCAGGTTTTCCGTATTATTTATCCCCCTCTCAGGTTTTCCGTATTATTTATCCCCCTCTCAGGTTTTCCATAATATTTATCCCGCTCTCAGGTTTTCCATATTAGTTATCCCGCTATCAGGTTTTCCGTATTATTTATCTCCCTCTAAGGTTTTCCGTAATATGTATCGTGCGCTCAGGTCTTCCGTAATATTTATCCCCCTCTCAGGTTTTCAGTATTATTCATCCCCCTCTCAGGTTTTCAGTATTATTTATCCCCCTCTCAGGTTTTCCGTATTATTTATACCCCTCTCAGGTTTTCCGTAATATTTATCCCCCTCTCAGGTTTTCCGTATTATTTATCCCCCTCTCAGGTTTTCCGTATTATTTATCCCCCTCTCAGGTTTTCCGTATTATTTATACCCCTCTCAGGTTTTCCGTAATATTTATCCCCCTCTCAGGTTTTCTGTAATATTTATCCCTCCCTCAGGTTTTCCGTATTATTTATCCCCCTCTCAGGTTTTCCGTAATATTTATCCCCCTCTCAGGTTTTCTGTATTATTTATCCCCCTCTCAGGTTTTCCGCATTATTTATCCCCCTCTCAGGTTTTCCGTATTATTTATCACCCTCCCAGATTTTTGAATTCATGTCAAAAGCTAGTTGAAACAATGTATAAAGAACCCATCAATGTTCAGATGAGCTTCATTTTTTTAGGTTCATCAATCTAGACCTGTGCAATTGAGACACACCATGTTAATTCCACAAAATTGAATCACCCTCATTTTCCCCCGTTCTTCAAATATAAGAAGAATATTATTATTAGCCTCATCAAGTCAAGGGTTAATTATTATCTATCCTCCTTCTTCTTGTAACCGTCTCTTTTATCATCTCTTCAACTCATACCCCATTTATCATTCACATTTTAATACTAGCTCTCTGCCTTGAATGGCTCTTGAGCATTTTATTGGGTGAAAATTAGTAAAATAAAATAATTTCAAAATAGTGAGGTGAAAAGAATTTTTTTATAGTGAGATCCTGTCCCTAATTCACAATCATGGGGAAGTGGTAAAAAATGCAGGAACGTCTTCCTTCGATATTTAGAGTGTATAGTTGGAGAGAACTGCGGCCTCAAAGGATCTCTTTTGATGTCATATCAATGTAATTTCATTGAAGAGGGTTTATAAAAATAATACTAGCCTCTATTAACACTATTTACATTGTTTGGACTGTTGACCTCATCTTTATTGTCATATTCACAATGTTTTGGCCGTTGTACACTCCGACCTTCTTCAGGTGATGTATGTTGGAATTTCGAACCCTTTATTTAGCCCACTGGGGTAGATTGTTCTAGTTCCACATGTCATGCCTCTTCCAGATATTTCAGTACTCTCAAAAAAAATTAGAGATTTGAGTTACTGAAGGGAAATAACTGAAACGGAGATATCTGGAAGAGGCATGACATATGGAACTTGAACAATCAGTGGATGAAATAAAGGGTTCAGTTCAAAATTCCAACTTATATCACCTGAAGAAGGCCAGAGCATACAATGTCCAAAACATTGTAAATATGACAATAAAGATAAGGACAACAGTCCAAACATTATTACAATGTCTCATCTTAGAAATATAGACAAATACTAACCTTGCTAGTTCAAAAAAGAGAATTTTGTCGCCAGTCATGTGAATATATTTATATCTTCTTTTATTTCAGGTCGTACATTGGTATTTGCTAGTTCAACAGGTGTCAATCTTCATGGAGACATTGTCCTCAGTACGGAACATGTACCAACATTCTGGATGAATGTAAGTTCTGAATGTATCAATCTCTTATTGTTGGTGTCAAGAATTCTTAATTTGTAAAAATATGGGGGGCTACTATGAAAAAAAGATTTTTAGACCATGAATATTTTTCATAAATTATTTTTAACAGATTTTTCTTTTTTAGAGATATATATCTTCTACATTGACATGCTAATATTTTAGGCCAAAGACATATAATGCACTGGGAAATGATTTTACTATGAAAAATGCATTGGAAAATGATTTTACTATGAAAAATGCATTGGAAAATGATTTTACTATAAAAATGCATTGGGAAATGATTTTACTATAAAAATGCATTGGGAAATGATTTTACTATGAAAATGCATTGGGAAATGATTTTACTATAAAAATGCATTGGGAAATGATTTTACTATGAAAAATGCATTGGAAAATGATTTTACTATGAAAAATGCATTGGAAAATGATTTTACTATAAAAATGCATTGGGAAATGATTTTACTATAAAAATGCATTGGGAAATGATTTTACTATGAAAAATGCATTGGGAAATGATTTTACTATGAAAAATGCATTGGAAAATGATTTTACTATGAAAAATGCATTGGGAAATGATTTTACTATAAAAATGCATTATAAAAAATGATTTTACTATAAAAATGCATTGGGAAATGATTTTACTATAAAAATGCATTGGAAAATGATTTTTATATAAAAATGCATTGGGAAATGATTTTACTATAAAAATGCATTGGGAAATGATTTTACTATGAAAATGCATTGGGAAATGATTTTTTATGAAAAATGCATTGGGAAAAATTTTGCATTGGGAAATGATTTTACTATAAAAAATGCATTGGGAAATGATTTTACTATAAAAATGCATTGGGAAATGATTTTACTATAAAAATGCATTGGGAAAATGATTTTTGGGAAATGATTTTATAAAAATGCATTGGGAAATGATTTTACTATAAAAATGCATTGGAAAATGATTTTACTATAAAATGCATTGGGAAAAAATTTTATTTTACTATAAAAATGCATTGGGAAATGATTTTACTATAAAAATGCATTGGGAAATGATTTTACTATAAAAATGCATTGGGAAATGATTTTACTATAAAAATGCATTGGGAAATGATTTTACTATAAAAATGCATTGGGAAATGATTTTACTATAAAAATGCATTGGGAAATGATTTTACTATAAAAATGCATTGGAAAATGATTTTACTATAAAAAATGCATTGGAAAATGATTTTTTACTATAAAAATTTTACTATTGGGAAAAATGATTTTACTATAAAAAATGCATTGGGAAATGATTTTACTATGAAAAAATGCATTGGAAAATGATTTTACTATAAAAATGCATTGGGAAATGATTTTTTAAAAATATAAAAATGATTGGAAAATGATTTTTTTATGAAAATGCATTGGAAAATGATTTTACTATAAAAATGCATTGGGAAATGATTTTACTATGAAAAATGCATTGGAAAATGATTTTACTATAAAAATGCATTGGGAAATGATTTTACTATGAAAAATGCATTGGAAAATGATTTTTTTAAACTATAAAAATTTGCATTGGAAAATGATTTTACTATAAAAATGCATTGGGAAATGATTTTACTATAAAAATGCATTGGAAAATGATTTTACTATAAAAATGCATTGGGAAATGATTTTACTATAAAAATGCATTGAAAAATGATTTTACTATAAAATGCATTGGGAAATGATTTTACTATGAAAAATGCATTGAAAATGATTTTACTATAAAAATGCATTGGGAAATGATTTTACTATAAAAATGCATTGGAAAATTTTACTATTTTGGAAAATGATTTTTATGAAAAATGCATTGAAAAATGATTTTACTATGAAAATGCATTGGAAAATGATTTTACTATGAAAAATGCATTGGGAAATGATTTTACTATGAAAAATGCATTGGAAAATGATTTTACTATGAAAAATGCATTGGAAAATGATTTTACTATGAAAAATGCATTGGAAAATGATTTTACTATGAAAAATGCATTGGAAAATGATTTTTATGAAAAATGCATTGGAAAAATGATTTTACTATGAAAATGCATTGAAAATGATTTTACTATGAAAAATGCATTGGAAAATGATTTTTACTATAAAATGCATTGGATTTTACTATAAAATGATTTTACTATAAAAATGCATTGGAAAATGATTTTACTATAAAAATGCATTGGGAAATGATTTTACTATGAAAAATGCATTGGAAAATGATTTTACTATAAAAATGCACTGAGAAATGATTTTACTATGAAAAATGCATTGAAATTGGAAAATGATTTTACTATAAAAATGCATTGGAAAAAATGATTTTACTATGAAAAATGGAAAATGATTTTTACTATAAAAATGCATTGGGAAATGATTTTACTATAAAAATGATTTTATTTTATATAAAATGCATTGGAAAATGATTTTACTATAAAATGCATTGAAAATGATTTTACTATAAAAATGCATTGGGAAATGATTTTACTATAAAAATGCATTGGGAAATGATTTTTACTATGCAAAAATGCATTGGGAAAATGATTTTACTATAAAAATGCATTGGAAAATGATTTTACTATGAAAAATTGAAAATGATTTTACTATGAAAATGCATTGGAAAATGATTTTACTATAAAATGCATTGAAAATGATTTTACTATGAAAAATGCATTGGAAAATGATTTTAATATGAAAAATGCATTGGAAAATGATTTTACTATGAAAAATGCATTGGAAAATGATTTTACTATGAAAAATGCATTGGAAAATGATTTTACTATAAAAATGCACTGGGAGATGATTTTACTATGAAAAATGCATTCGAAAATGATTTTACTATAAAAATGCACTGGGAGATGATTTTACTATGAAAAATGCATTGGAAAATGATTTTACTATAAAAATGCATTGGGAAATGATTTTACTATAAAAATGCATTGGGAAATGATTTTACTATAAAAATGCATTGGAAAATGATTTTACTATGAAAAATGCATTGGAAAATGATTTTACTATAAAAATGCACTGGGAGATGATTTTACTATGAAAAATGCATTGGAAAATGATTTTACTATAAAAATGCATTGGGAGATGATTTTACTATAAAAATGTCTTGACAAAGTATTTACTATGGTCTTACATTAGACAAGGTTTTTTACTAAATGGCATGCACACTCCATAAAATTATAGGCACACTCCATAAAATTATAGGCACACCTTTATTTTATTAAGAACTAGCAGTAGAGCCCGGCGTTGCCTGGGGATATAACAGTAAGAGATAGATCAATATCCACCATCATAAAGACTGAAAAATAAAATTGACAAAGATTATTGTTTAAGGTTGACGGACACGCATGTCTTAATTAGTTTTTTTTTTTTTTTACGAATTGATCAAACTCAAACAAAAACATTGTTTTCAATCGTTATGAGTCTCTACCGATTGAATAGAATTTTATTATAAACAATTGTCTTGTAAATGGAATTTTTAAAGCATTCTGAATGTAAAAATAAAGAAAAAAGTGTGCAAGACAATAAGAAACACTACATGCCAAAAAAAAAAGGTGAAGTTTTGTTGAAATTGGTTGAAAATGTAGGTAACCTTTCTGTAATCTTAGTTTTACAATTTATGATTTTTTACTTATTGAATACAAAAAAAAAATTGCATATTTTGCTTGTGGTGATTCATAATTAGAATTCTGATTTGAATATATTTTCCACTCGTTGTTTCTAATACAAAAAATATTAACTTTATTTGGGTTTATTAATTATGATCTAACAAATCTTATTCATTTAGTAGCCTTTCTGTAATAATAATCTTTTTACAATTTATGATTTTACTTATTGAATACAGTAAAAAAAATGGACACCATGTGTATTTAAAGTAGTTTCCCGTTCCGGTTATTATTTTTAGTTAGGACTTGTTTATGTTTAGATTTCATTATCTTTCCCTAAAGATAAAGAATTGTATTCGTACAATCAGTAGAGATCGTTAGATTATTGTTTCTCCCGATTAAATAGAATTTTATTATAAATAGTTGTCTTCTAAATGGAATTTTTGTGAATATTAAAAATAAAGAAAAAAGTGTGTAAGAGAATAAGAAACACTACCTGCCAAAAAAAAAAAAGTGAAGTTTTGTTTTATCGGCTGAAAAATATAAGAAATCCGATCCCATATTTAAAAAAAAACTCACGCACACAAACAACCCGATGTGAGTTGTCCCCCTTCCATTTTCACGATGTCTCTTAATTGTGTTTTCAAATTGATTTTGTGCAAAAACAATTATATTTTTCCCATTTTGGGCACTGTTAGAACCACAAAAAGGTAATTTTATGTAGTCCTGTGAAGTTTTGTTGAAATCGGTTGAAAAATGTAGGAAATCCGATCCAATATATAAACGTTACAGACACACACACACACACACACACACACACACACACACACACACACACAATCTGCATTTTATAATGAGTAAGATTATTAAGACTATTTAGCATTTTGTATTTATTGGTAGTGTCTGTGGACGTTGATATTTGGAAAATAGTTTGTAACATTTTCATAGGTGCCCTGTGACAGAAGATACACCATTTTCAGCAGGTTAAAGTTCAAAAATGGTCATTGAATACTTTTGGGTTAGATGATAATGTCATGACAATGTGCAAATTCCTAAGTAGGAATTATTCAATCTAATTAACATGAGTATTAAGTGCCTTGACAAGTTATTGTAATTGAACATTAGGATGCATTTTTTACCATAAAATCATGACTAAAATCTTTGCTGAAAACAGAGATGAAAGGTTGTGACTTTGATAGTGAAGATGATTTGACGAGAGAAAGTCAGGTGACTGGGAACTTTCAGAAACAGTATTCAAACTGCTGAAAAGACATTTTATACAACTGGAAGTGATTTATGGGCAAAGGAAACTGGAAGACCCCAAAAGTTAGACAAGGGAGATGTAAGAAAGATTATGGT